ACGGCACCAAAGGCGGAGATGGAACCAACGGTGGTGGAGTCGGCCTCGGACGCGGTCTACGACGTGGTGGTGATGGTGATGGAACCAACGGGGGTGGAGTTGGTCTTGGACGCGGTCTCGGACGCCGTGGTGGACGAGGTGGTTGGAAAGGGAGAAAAGGATTTTCCGGCGAAGGTGTTGTAGGAAAAGGCCACTGTCCACAAGTTCCAAATAAGTATCGATACAGAGGATCGCAGCTTCTGCGTCCACGATTCTGACCGCTACCACTGCGTCTTCCTCTGTTTATTTGCTTTTGCTCTTTTATGGTTACAGCTTCTGCGTTCGCGTTAGCGTTCACTTCGTGATCTGATAAGGATTCTGTTGTGTGAATGACTAAAAGGAGTTGTGAAAACAAAATCACAACTACAAGTAATTGATTTGATTTCATCATGTATCTTTTTCTTTGTGTTCACTTTTTTCTCTTCTTTTTGTTGATAGGTAATTTCTACGTACAAAACTACAAGACAGTTATATATAAGATCAATACTCCATGAATAAAAAAATGAATAATGTGTATGCATCTCATGGGAAAATGTAGGAATAGTAAATGCTCAGAGAAGATTATCCTCATTACACAATTTATTGGCATATGCTGCATATCACAAAAGTTAAAAGTGGTGTTTAATTGACCTCATTTATTTTGGATACAAAAGTAGAATTTGATTCGAGTATTCGTTTTAGGAATAAATTTTGGATATGTGTATTGAAAGCTTTAGTTGCTTAGAACGATGCGCCACCGTTCTAAAATTGAATGCTTTGCCCATTTACTCCATGCTTATCTTCATTCTCTACACATTCTAGTTTCCTTCAATATACTACTCCCAAACTATTTTCTTCACATAATTTTGGTCACTCGTGCTAATCATCATTCGTTTCTGAATTATAAAAAACGAATATTGAAAATTTGAAATAACGTTTGGTGCATTTAGGTTTAAAATAACTACAAAGTAAACTATTTTAGTCTAAAACCACGCAAGCTATGCATACAATTTAGTCATATAAATCAATTTTCTGTTAAGAGAGCTTTCACCGTCGAGAGAAATGGATATATTCTATGGGCCAAATTAAACGAAGACCTATAGTTGACAAAAAAAAAATGAAGGCCCATAGTTGAACTTTTAGGCCCAATTAACTTAATGAATTAACCGATTACAGTCGAAATATCTCCAAAGTAGACGGAAAAACAGATCCCACACACACGAAATGAAAGGAGAAACTTCTAGAAGCGCAACGGAATCAGAGGAACAGAATTAGGTAATAGAAGAAGACGAAGCAGCAAAGAGTTACATCAAAATCTCATCCAAAAAGATTTTGATCTCTCTCTCTTCAGTCTCCAATATGTATCTTCCTCCTCTAGATCCCTCATCAATTCCCACATCTTCGTCCTCTGTGGTAAGAAATTTCGATTTGGAAATAGAAATATTTCGCTCTGAAGAAGAAAATCAATCAACTTTCTGTGCTTTCGTTGTTAATTTTGTCAAAAAAAAAAAAAAGAGTTAAAACCAAGTGTGGGAGGAAAAAACCCTAACTTGAGTTGAGTGTATACTCGTTCTACTGGGTTTGTTAATTCTTGTATTGTTTTTAAAAAAAAAATTCAATTTTCAGACACCAAAGCGGAGGATGATGTTAGAGAGATGCCAAAATGGATTTAAGATGAGAAAGCTGAATGATGTTACTGAAGAAGACAACACCGTACAGACCGAGTCAAACATCAAATGTGCACAAGAGAATAATCGTGTTTCCGAACCAGAAGCAGGTTTGGTGCCTCACAGAACAAATGAAGGTACTTGTTTTACTTAATTAGCTTAGGATTAAGGTATTGTACAAGATATGGTTATATGGAATTAGAATATGAGTGAGAGCTGCAAAATGTAATGAATCAAAAGCTCGAAGCTGTCAATTATCTCTCAGGTTTTCGTGTTTAGTTTTCACCTATTGACATTTTGTTAATGTTGTTCATATGAATGTGTTTAGAAGAGAGTCAAAGAGTGTCAGCCAAATCAGAGTTGTATAAGTTATGTGGTGTGAGGCATTGGAAAGCACCTGTTTATGAGTGTTGCGACAACGAGGGTCCTTCTCATAAGAAACTGTAAGGAGACATAATCCCTCCTTGACTTCTCTTAGATTTTTCAGGCTTGAAATCTCGTCAGCATGAACATGACTCTTTGTTTTTTCTTCAGATTTACAGTCAGAGCTACGGTTGAAATCAAGGAGGGTTCTCGGATAACGGTTTTGGAGTGTTTCGGGGATCCACAGCACAAGAAGAAAATTGCAGCTGAACAGGCAGCAGAAGCAGCGCTTTGGTATCTTAAGAATGTGGGTCACACCCTTCAGACAGACAAAGCTTCTGGTCGTTGAGGGGAGACACAAAACCTCTCAGACAATGATGGTGACAAACGAACCGTGTAATGATATTTGCCAGTTAGAATCATGGTAACATGAGCAAATAGTTTAATTTTGTTCTTGTTTATCGGCCTCGAGGATTAGCATATAAGCTCTATATAGGGAGCTCAAAAGAAAAGGGTAGCCTCTATCACAAAATGCTCATCTCTTACGAGAGACTATGTTGTTTTGTATCAGAAATCGTGTACCAGGATCATATTTTCTGTAAAATTACCTGTAAGTAATCAATAAAGTATGGTTATCATATCTCTCTTTGGTTTCTCACTTGTAACAGTCACTCGGTTAGTGGATCCAAATGAAATGAGATTGAAATCCCAAAGATATAATCCAGAACAGAGTCAAGGACTTGCAATGATTCAACGCTTCACCTTTACCATCAGTTTCAGGAAAAGTAGAGAGATGAGAGTATCTTAGAAGCTCAAGTAGGGGAGTGAGGTATCTACAAAGAAAGCAAAAGAACCTTTGAATCTGTTCAGAGTATTACTTCTATACTCGTGATAGAGCTCCTACCTAGTGGGATTGAGTTGTGTTCTCTGGTAAAAAAAAAAAAAAATGTTTCTGATGGGTTAGTGAATATTTGGTCTTTGTTGTGTTCATGAACAAATATTGTCATGGATGAGAGAAAAAGCTCATCAACACTAGCTTGTTTC